TACTTATTCTTAGTAACCCCTTCTGTCTTAGTGGCTTTATTAGTCAACTTTAATATTCAAAGATTTAAATGCAATGTCAATCGTTATCTACTGTCTTCTTGATTCCTCTTCTTTTATTCTTCTCGCTCCTTACTAATGTTTTCTTTTACTTATTCTTAGTAACCCCTTCTGTCTTAGTGGCTTTCTTAGTCAACTTTAATATTCAAAGATTTAAATGCAATGTCAATCGTTATCTACTGTCTTCTTGATTCCTCTTCTTTTATTCTTCTCGCTCCTTACTAATGTTTTCTTTTTTCTTATTCTTAGTAACCCCTTCTGTCTTAGTGGCTTTATTAGTCAACTTTAATATTCAAAGATTTAAATGCAATGTCAATCGTTATCTACTGTCTTCTTGATTCCTCTTCTTTTATTCTTCTCGCTCCTTACTAATGTTTTCTTTTTCTTATTCTTAGTAACCCCTTCTGTCTTAGTGGCTTTATTAGTCAACTTTAATATTCAAAGATTTAAATGCAATGTCAATCGTTATCTACTGTCTTCTTGATTCCTCTTCTTTTATTCTTCTCGCTCCTTACTAAAGTTTTCTTTTTCTTATTCTTAGTAAACCCTTCTGTCTTAGTGGCTTTATTAGTCAACTTTAATGTCTCAAAATTTAAATGTAATGTCAATCGGTATCTACTGTCTTCTTGATTCCTTTTTTTTTTGGTTTTACTCCTTACTAATGCTTTCTTTTACTTATTCGTTCACACTCAGTAAACTTCGTATTTCTTATTGGCTTTACTATCTTGGTTGGGGTGAAATGATTAAAAAATTACTAGATTGGCAGATAGGTCTCATCACCTTACAATTTTAATAGATAAAAATCACCATAGGTCATATACTAACAGTTTCTTCTGTCGCACTTCTAACTTGTGTATAATTCTTTTTTCCCAATGAACTTTGATCTTCATAAATTTAAATGCAGTTTTTATCTGTCTCCTTAAATCCGCGTCTTTAACGATCATCTTTCCTTGATAATTTTTTTTTTTTACATTCGGTAACGCACCTGCGTATTCACATTCAACATGAGAGAATGAGTGTATATGAGAAAAACAACACTGAATTTAAATGTAGTTTGTTTTAGGTTGAGCAACAGCACCTCTTAAAAATCTACCTTTAGTAGCAAAACCTACTGTAGTAGATATGCAGCCCTTTACACCTCATGGGCGTAAACGCACACACACAAACACACACATAAATATCTCTCGATACATACAGGTTGTAGAAGAACTACATTTATAAAATTTGGGGCCGGATTCCTCAAAACAAAACAAGGACAAATATTCATATAAAAATATGTTCGCAAATCCTTCGTTTTTAAGTTTAAGTAAATAGCACGGTGTTGCCACGTAGACGAGATTCCATTGGTTATTCGTGTATATTTGAGGCTAGACTGTCTTCAAAGTCTAATGTGTGTAGAAGTGAGTTAATTGAGAATTAACAATGGCAGGATATTCGTGTCGTGAGCGAGATATGTTTTTTTTTTTACATACAGCCGCTCGAATGGTAATTGACGCGAGGCTGCATCGCTGTAGCAGATTGCGCTTCCAGAGAGAAGGTGGCCGATTCATCCAACGATTGTTGCTGTTTATCGTCGCGTTGTTGAGACAGGATCCATGGTAGCACAAACTAATCAGTATTTCGGGATTGTATGTCGGATTGTATGTCGGATTGTACATTTAACAGCGTCTACCGTCAACATTAACCTTAATAAATAAAAAACAAAGGATCTGCGGACATATGTATACACAGAATTTTGTCCTGGTTTTGATATGAGGAATCCGCCTCCAAAGTTTTCAAAGGTATTTTTGATACACTGTGTAAATAAACACACTCACACACATACACTCCACACAAACACACACACACACAAACACACACACAAACACATACACACACACACACACACATATATATATATATATATATGTGTGTGTGTGTGTGTGTGTGTGTATAGATAGATAGATAGTTTAAGACATTTTTTATGTTTATACGTTATTTTTTTATAGATACAAATATTTAAGTAAATGATCTGTTTATAATAAAAAGTATTAACAACATAAACAGAGCATTTACTTAAATATTTGTACCTATAAAAAGAACGTATAAGCATAATAAAATGTCTTAAAAATAATTGTCAGAATTTTGTCCATTTCATATATATATATATATATATATATATATATATATATATATATTACAATTAATGAGAGCCAAACGATTTACCTCATACAGATGATCATTTCGTCCATGGGAAAGTAGTATTTCCCTGGACTTATCAATGCAAATACATTTACTAAAAATAATAATGTTTTTATGCTCTATAATAGAAATTATATTGTGCTCGCTTTTGTCATCAGTTTTAATATTTGATATTAATAAGATCTACTTGGATTACTTACCCACGGATTTTTTCTTACTTTTCCTATATATTACCGAACTAACATTCTCGGCTGACTTGAGGCGGAAAGATTATATTGGTTCCATTGCTAGTTCAGTTGTTTCACTGCATCGTGTTAGACCATTTTTTTTTTCTCGCCAGATATTTACATATTTATAAGTCTATCATTCGCTGTTTCTTTGAATATTACTTCCACTTATGGTCCGGTGTACCTGCTATATATTTAGAATCAGCAATATTATAGGTGCTGCCCTGGCGTCACGGATTCAGCCGTATTGTAAACACCCCTGCGACTTTCTATAAATACTTTCATGGTAATTTTTCAGATGAGCAATTTATCATCAGACATGGACTTTATTAGTTTAAGCTCAGTACTTGATTGGCAGCAAGGTTTCATCATTTTACTGTTGAATTGGCTAGATGCAACCGTAGGTTCTATTCTAATAGTTTCTTCTATCGCACTTCTTGTGTGTAGAACTCTCTTCCGGCTCTATGTTTTACAGCTGTTTTAAAGTGAAATATCAATCGCTACCTACTGCCGTCCTGATTACTCTTCTATTGTTCGCGCTTCTTAGTAATGTTAGTTTGTTTCTAGCTCTTCCACACCCATTAACCTCTTGTGTCTTAGTGGCTTTACTGCCTTGCTTGGGGTAGAGGGATCTCGATGAAAAAAAATGTTGCTTGTAATTAAAAACAAATGAATGTTCTTTAGACCTTATTTATTAAATTTTTTTTGACGTCGAGCGTGATTAGCGCGTACCTGGGTGGCCGCTTTGCAATACCCGGTTCTGTAAGCTTCGATATACGGGTGCTATGGATTACAGCCAAATGACGCTGAAGCACCGGTTTTCGGACGATCACCGAAATTACGTCACGTCGAGTCATGTCAGTACCGCTTGGGAATAGCAGGTGCTGTAAGCATGGATGTGCGGGTGGTGTAATGGATAAAGGCTCCGAGTTGATTAGAGAACGGATTTCAAATTCCAGTTGGGTTCATTATATTAACTTACGCGCAAATACCCTCGGGTAGATGTTCTCAACCAGGGGTAAATTTACCCCTAGGGGGTAAAAAATTATATAGTCGGGGGTAAATAATTGAAGTAACTGATGATTTAAAAAAACCCGCCTGAAAGCCGATGATGATATGAGAGTAGCATTATTAGAAACAACTCCTCGCATAAACAAACTGATTGACTCAATGAATCAGTATTGTTCCCATTGATAATGCTTCTGATGTTTTTGTTCATTATTTTTTGTAATACAAATTAACTTCATAATTTTCTATTTAGAAAACGTTTGATTTTCTTTTTTGATACGAATATATAATACTATTTTTATACAAAACCTAAAGTCCGAAACAATAAAAAGGTTCTTTCTGACCTTCTTGTTTTTCTGTCATGTTATGACATTGATGTACAAATGAAGGATGGATTACTAATTTTTGGATCAGAATACTGAATTTTTACTAATTTTTAGTATTTGTCAGTATTTTTTATTTCTGTTTTGGTATTTTTGCTAATGACTAATTTGCACAATTTTTAGTCCCAAATTAGTCAGTACTAATCATAATCATTCACTGAAAAAAAAAAAATTTAGTATTTTCCAAAAATTTTTTAAATTGCCAAAAACAAAAATATTAAAAATAATTTTTTTTTGAATGAATGATTAGGATTAGTATTAATTTGTAGATCTATTAATACAGCGGATAAAATGAATAATTTTTTATTAATGACTACAAACGTTAATAAAAATACTGAATTTTATACAGAGTACGAACTTATACTAAAAAATTAGTAGATTAATACTAAATAAGAAATCAGTATTTTGAGTGTCGCTTTGTATTTTTTTAGGCACAGTATTTTGACTAAAAAACCCTTAGTATTTTTAATGAAAAATCATTCATTCATTTAGTCACGAAATTGAACATCAATGCTTTATGATGGCTATGAATTTTTTGTATGGGAGTAGGGGGGTAAATGGAGAAATACATAAAGCCGAGGGGGTCAGTGCTGGAGGAAAGGTTGAGAATGGCTGCCCTAGGGAGAGGTATGGATCCGCCTCTTCTCTACCCCTCACCCACAGATATGGGTTAATTTCTAAGACTTGTATAAGTAATGCATTATTATCTCAAAAAATTATTACAATCTAAAAATGATCTCAAGCTTTAAGTAACCTGCAAAAGGTTGACAGACCATAAAAAAAATCAGTCTGTCATTTCTTATTAGGTTTTGACATCAGGACAAAGTCTGATGGAAAACTCAGACCTTGAAAGGAAGAAATATTAAATTAAAAATATGCAACCAAATATGCATACACACACATACATACGCACAGAAAAATCAACACCTAAAAAGACAACACGATATTAGAAAGAAAGAAAGAAACGAATGGTCTGAGAGATGGATAGATACGAAGCGAGTGAAATAGATAGATAGATAGATAGATAGATAGATAGATAGATAGATAGATCGATAGATAGATAGATAGAAAAAAGAAAGGTCTGATAGATGGATAGATACGAAGAGACTGAGATAGATAGATAGATAGATAGAAAAAAGAAAGG